TCTTCTCAGGAGAGCTGGGAGAACTTGGCCAGGCCCAAACCTTTTTGACCCTCACTCCCTGGTGGTTAAATCAGGGATAGTGACACTCAGGCCATGAGATATGGCAGGGCAGGCTGCTCACAGCACAAGGCTGTTCAGCTAAGGGGCTCTTTCTAATTACACAAAAGCACCTCATGGATGAGTGGCAGAGTTGTGAAAACCGCTCGTAGACACGGGGCGGGGGTTGGGGTGGGCAGGGAGACACTGCCCCTACTCTGGGTAAACGCCCAGAGGCGCTGATTCCTACGGCACAGCAGGTCCAGGTTCAGGGGAGACTGTCTCTCCTCCCCTCCAGCTCAGCCGCCGCTGGCTCCCTGGTAACTCCCCCTGCTCTCCCCTTCCCTCCCCGCTCCTGGCTCATAGACATTCTGAGCAGACAAGCTCTTGCTCCTTTGCAGATGGATTCCTCCCATGAAGGCTGATTCTGACATTTGATACCAGCATCCATTTCACAGCCTCGCTTCTGATCCCCATGCATCTCTCTCAGCTTTGCCCATAAATAATCCCATGGCCCCTCCTGCCGGCTTTCATCTGCTTCTTTGTTCCTGATACCAGCCCTCTACTCCTAATCTCCACATCTCCGTGGTCCCCTTCACCACCTACACCACTCCGAGCTGCTTAGAGGGACCTAGGTTGCTCCTTCTAACATTCATTCAAATCCCAGCTCAAAAGAGAGATCCTCCCATCCCCCTGGCGTGTGAACTAATTGCCTGTTATCCACCCGCTCCCCTCACCTCCCTCCCAACTTGGGGTTTAAGCTGCTTTTTGTTTGGCTGTGAGAGTAATATATTAAGTGACAGTTCTCAGAATACAATTTTAATTAAGATTCAATAGTCACTTCTCCGTCAGTAATCTTCCATGCTGATTACTTAAAATATATTTACCCAGTTCTATTATGTCACAGATTTGAATTCATTAGACGTTTGTTAATCCTCAACAAACTTTCTTTTTAGTGTGGTTTGTTTAGCATAATTTACAAGGACAAAACCGCTCGGAACGATGGGCCCCAAGCAGGGTGTGCATCGCAGTGTCCGGGTCTTTCCTGCCTGCTGCATCGCCGTCGCTCTCCATCAGGGGGCAGGCGGCAGAAGCAAGGAGGGAAAGGCCCAAGGATGCTGTAGGCTGAGGCAGTCCATCCACATTGCCCTGAAGCAGCCCCTACAGGTCAGCCTTACAGGACACAGGGTGGGGTCGGAGACAGTGGAGAAGGGGTCAGGAGAGACAGTGAGAAGTATCCCACAGAGGCCACCGACAGCCTTGGCCCTGGACTCGGATACACCTGACAAACATTGCCATTTCCTGCATGTGCCGAGATGGGAAGATGTCGGGAAGTCCTGCTTAGCCTTAGAAACTTGCAGCATTTACTGACAAGGGCTCTTGAGGAAGCCACCTTTCTCAGGGGCCAGAGGCTTTCTAAACCCTATCCCCCCATACACATGCACACACACACACACAAACGCATGTACACATCCACCTCCAACTTAACTAGCAAGGGACTTCCTTGGGTGTGGTTTTCTCTCTGTCCCCAGTGGGTAGAGGGGGTACTGCTCACCTCTCCTTGAGCAGACACAGTGACCAGGGACATAAGGCCTCCCTAACACTGAGCACAGTAAGCCATGCTGGGAAGCACGGTTAGCAGAAGATGCTTCTAAAGCTTCTGTGAGACTAGGCTGCTCCATGAAAATGGTTTTCTCAGCTGATTAGCCAAGTGAACCTTGGACAGTGTTGATACAGAACTCAGAACCTCAGTGACAATGCCAGAAACTCACTTGGCTCAGCACCAAATTTTATTCATTTATTCATTTATTCATTTATTCATTTGATATTTATTGGGCACTTACTATGAGTCAGGTGTGGTACTGGGAGCTGGGATACAGTGATGGGTGGATAAGATAGATAAGTTCCCTGCCTTGTGGAGTTTACAGTCTAGGAACCCATACATGTACACGATTAAGGAATTATAATTAAAAATGTGGTGAGCGATACGTAGGACAAGTACGGGGTGCTAAGGCGCAAACAGCAGGAGGGTCTAATTTGGTCCAGGTTTTGGAGAGGCTTCCTGGAGCAGGTGGTGTTTAAGCTGAGCCTGGAGGTGGACTAGGAGCTTGGCCAGGCAGGAGGGGAGTTGAGGGAGAAGCCGGGAAGAGACCAGAGCATGGAGGAAGTCCTGGAGGAAGATCAAGCCTGGCATTTAGATGTGAAAGGGGTTGAGTGTAGCTGGAGCAAGAACAGGGGAAGAGAGAGTGGTGAGAGATAAAGTGGGGAGATGGGCAGAGCTGGCTTTTGCAAAGACTTTTTCTTCTGTTAAAACAAAAAGAAGGTCAATGCAGATGAAAAAAAGATTCCTATTCGTTATATCAGGCCTCATCTAAGCATGGACCAGAACACATTTGAATGTGGAGAAGATGGCAGATGGAAAGCTTCCACATGTAGGCACCTCTGGGATGGATGTGCCTGGCGGGACCTGGGTCAGGGCAGGCTGGTACCCCTTAGGGAAGAGGTCAGTGAGGGACTGGCAGGGTGGGCAGTTGCTCATGGGAGCTCAGAGCAGAGCTGGTGGAATAAGGCACATTGATAACAGCTTTTAATGCGGGTGACCATAATGAAGATGAAAAGAAAAAAAAAAACTTTTGGAACAAAAACAAGCAAGCTTTTTCTGTAAAGGGCAAGACAGCAAATATTTTAGGCTTTGCTGGCCACATTCTATCTGCTGCAACTACTTACTTCCATCATTATTGCATGAAAAAAAGCCATAGACGATATGTAAAGGAATGATCATGGCCATGTCCTAATAAAACTTTATTTACAAATACAAGAAGCAGGCTGGATTTGGCCCGTGGGCTATAGTTAGCTCACACCTGCTCTAATGGTGCTGTCCAGTGTGGTAGCCTATAGCCGCATAGGGCTACTGAGCGCTTGAAATGTGCTCTAAGTGTTAAATACACTTAGATTTTGAAGACTTAGTACAGATAAAAGAAAGTTAAACATCTCATTCATAATTGTTTGCATTGATTACACATTGAAATACTATTCTGGATATGGTGGGTTAAATAAAATACATTATCAAAATTGATTTTACTTGTTTCTTTTCACTTTTTTTATTATGGCCATGTAATTTAAATGTAATTCAATATGTAATATAAAATTACATTTGTGGCTAGTATCATATTTCTGTTAGACATTTCTGTTCAGGAATAATGCTCAGTTCAGATGAAATGTAGAGTTAAGTCTCTGGCGCTGAAGGGTCTCAGGTGGGAGATTTGCCCTTAAAGAAACATGATAATGGAATTCAAATCTTCACAATAAAGTAATATCTGATTGGAATAGGTTTTTGTTTATTATATGTCTTTTTTTTTTTATCAGCTAGTTCTTTTGTCAGCATCTGTGCTCCTCAAACTGGGAGCTATGGAGCTTTACTTCCCCAAGGTATTAATAGTTGTTATGCAAAAAAAAAAAAAAAGGAGTCTATTTAGCTAAAAAAAAAAAACAGCAATGTAGAATTAAACATTAAGCCAAATTTCTTTACTGCCGCAGAATTTCTCAACCCTTCTGAACTTGCTAAGGCGTAGAGAGCTTTCCAAGAGTGAGCAAGAGTGGGCTGCACTTCCCCAGTTCATTGACCTTAGGAGCCTTCCTTGCAGAACCCTAATTAACACTCCTAGAAGGCAAATTGAGAGCTGTTGGTCTGTGTGACGCTACTCAACGAGTGTGCCTCATTTTCCAAAAGTCCAACTCAATTGATGTTTTTAGCACTACATAAATACAGCCACACTGAGTACAACATGGAACAGTGAGAAAACTGTAAGATTCGGAGGCATAAAGACCTGAGCCACAGTCCTGTTCCTTCCTTCCCTGGAGAGTCACTTATGCAAAAGCACCTACTATGTGCCAGGCAGTGCTTTAGGCCTTTTAGTTGGTCAGTAGTCTGGCTCCAGGCCATCCTCAGAAAAACAAATCCCAACCCTTTGGGGCTTTGTTGCCAGTGCAGAAGACAAATAATAACAGGACAAGTAGGTAAAATATACAGTAAATTAGTGAACAGTTCTAAGGAGAAAATGCAGAGCAGGGAAGAGGTATATGCAGAGGGTGGGGCCCCAGTGAGAAGGTGACTTTCGAGTAAGGACCAGAAGGAGGCACTCAGGCCACAGACAAGTCCTCATCTATACACGCAGATAAGCCCTTCCCTATGAAGGGTGTTCCTGGAGCCTAGATGAGATGATGCACGTGAAGGTTCAGGCAGAGGACCCAGCACATACTAAGTGCTCATACAAAGAAGCCCTTGCCTTTGCCTCCCCTCCAACCCCTTCTTCAGTTCCCTGAACTTCCAGAGATTCATCCACTGTGTGGATTCTCCATGGTGAAGAATTTATCCAAAGCCAGTTCCCCACTAACCCTGGCATCTCCTGGGGCCAGCTCGCTCCTTGTCCATGTTCTTGTTCTTAAGGAATGCTGGTCGAATTTGATTCCATGCTGAGCCTAATCTAATTACGGAGGCAAAACTGGCTTCAAAATACAACCATAACACACTTTTCAAATCCAATGATTATTCGATGAACCACTGGTATGGAATTATCCATCTGCCCATCCATCCATTCAACAAATGTTTATTGAGCATCTACTGTGTTCCAGATGCTGTGCTAGATGCAGGGAATACTGCAATTAATAAAACAGACAAAAGTACCAGCCTTCATGGAACTGACCGTCTAGTGGGGGAGATAGAAAATATTCCACGAACATCATTAGTAAGTAAATTAAATAGTCTATTAGAAGGTGATAAGAACCAAGGAGAAAGGAAAAAGCAGAACTGTATTAGAGAGATTGGGAGAAGAGACTACGCCTGCCAGAGCAGATGCCACTCTGTGCTGCTCCCCAAGGCAGGGGGTGTGTGTGAGGGAAGAAGCCCTGGGCGAGGGCATTAGAAAGTCGCCTCCTGACCCTGACCTTGTGTCCCTCCCTTCCAGGCACCGTGGCCTGAGTGACCAGACCATGGAGACTCTGCTTGGTGGCCTGCTGGCGTTTGGCATGGCGTTTGCTGTGGTCGACGCCTGCCCCAAGTACTGTGTCTGCCAGAACCTGTCTGAGTCACTGGGGACCCTGTGCCCCTCCAAGGGGCTGCTCTTCGTGCCTCCCGACATTGACCGGCGGACGGTGGAGCTGCGTCTGGGCGGCAACTTCATCATCCACATCGGCCGCCAGGACTTCGCCAACATGACGGGGCTGGTGGACCTGACCCTGTCCAGGAACACCATCAGCCACATCCAGCCCTTCTCCTTCCTGGACCTCGAGAGCCTCCGCTCCCTGCACCTCGACAGCAACCGGCTGCCCAGCCTCGGGGAGGACACCCTGCGGGGCCTGGTCAACCTGCAGCACCTCATCGTGAACAACAACCAGCTGGGCGGCATCGCCGACGAGGCCTTCGAGGACTTCCTGCTGACGCTGGAGGACCTGGACCTCTCCTACAACAACCTCCATGGCCTGCCCTGGGGCTCCGTGCGGCGCATGGTCAACCTGCACCAGCTGAGCCTGGACCACAACCTGCTGGACCACATAGCCGAGGGCACCTTTGCTGACCTGCAGAAACTGGCCCGCTTGGACCTCACCTCCAACCGGCTGCAGAAGCTGCCCCCAGACCCCATCTTCGCCCGCTCCCAGGCCTCTGTTCTGACGGCCACGCCCTTTGCCCCACCCTTGTCCTTTAGTTTTGGGGGGAACCCGCTGCACTGTAACTGTGAGCTTCTCTGGCTGAGGAGGCTGGAGAGGGACGATGACCTGGAGACTTGTGGCTCCCCAGGGGGCCTCAAGGGCCGCTACTTCTGGCACGTGCGCGAGGAGGAGTTTGTGTGCGAACCGCCTCTCATCACCCAGCACACGCACAAGCTGCTGGTGCTGGAGGGCCAGGCGGCTACGCTCAAGTGCAAAGCCATCGGGGACCCCAGCCCTCTCATCCACTGGGTGACCCCCGATGACCGCCTCGTGGGGAACTCCTCCAGGACGGCCGTGTATGACAACGGCACCCTGGACATCCTTATCACCACGTCTCAGGACAGCGGCGCCTTCACCTGCATCGCTGCCAACGCGGCCGGGGAGGCCACAGCCACGGTGGAGGTGTCCATCGTCCAGCTGCCACACCTCAGCAACAGCACCAGCCGCACCGCGCCCCCCAAGTCCCGCCTCTCGGACATCACTGGCTCCAGCAAAACCAGCCGGGGAAGTGGAGGCAGTGGGGGCGGGGAGCCTCCCAAAAGTCCCCCTGAACGGGCTGTGCTGGTGTCCGATGTGACCACCACCTCGGCCCTGGTCAAGTGGTCCGTCAGCAAGTCCGCTCCCCGGGTCAAGATGTACCAGCTGCAGTACAACTGCTCCGACGATGAGGTACTGATTTACAGGTGAGCCAGGGCTGCGGCCAAGCAGGGAGGTGTCTGACGGGGCAAGGAGGAAATGATGGGGAGGGTTTAGAGCTGCTTCCACCTACACCCCACCACTTCAAAGGTGTCTGAGGGATTCCAGGGACAAAGTGTGTCATTTGTGTAGGTAAGAGGGAGTAGAAAGAACATTATCTACACGTTTAAGAAGAAAGGACCCCACGTGGGTAGCCCGAAGAGATGTGTCTGTAGGAGGACCATGCCTCCCAGAGGTGTGGCTGTGGTAGGAGGTCTCATGGCTATGAGCCTTCGAACTTTCTGTTTTGAGCTTCAGGTGGAGGACATGCAATAGCAATGACCAGATCTCTCGGCCAAAGGGTCTGACTCCTCCAAGAAGGAATGGATCTGGCCTTCACTTAGGCTTATAGGCAGTGGTGGTTAAGGTCTGGAGGTGTAGAATTCAGATATCACTCTGCCACTTGTTTGTCATTTGATTCTCCTGGCTGGACTCAGTTTTCCTCATCTTTAAAATGGGGACAGTCTGTACCTAACTTAGTCTGCGGGTAATTGAACCCAACTCAAACTGGCTGAAAAAAGAAAAAGGGAGAAGTAATGTGTTGGCCCATGTAACTGAAAACTCGAGGTTCAGCTAGATCAAAGGCCTCATAAACATCCTGCATTCTCAGTGTCTCACCTTCCCTAAGTTTCGTTTTCTTCTGGTTTGGCATCACCCCCAGGCAGCTTCTTTCCTCTGAACAGCCCTAGAGGGAGACAAGTGTCCCTGTCCCAGCTGGCCCCACAGGAGTCCTGGATGAGCTCAGATAAACTGGAGCAGGTCATATGAGCCTATTGGCTATTAGGGATGGGGTCATCCTGGCCTCTCTGGGTATCAGTCTCCTCATCTGGAAATGGAGGCAATGATGTTGACCTTGCCAATCTGCTGTGAAGATCAAAGGGCCATTTCCTAGGCTGTTAGAAAGGGAGGTTAAGAAGGAAAAGCTGCAGTAGAATTGCCTGTCGATCAGAGGGAGGAAGGTGCTCATGGATGATGGATCCAAAGGGTCCAAAAGGTTGGGGGCTGAGCACAGGTGTGTTCCCTTCTCAGCCAGCCTCAGCTCATATTGAACATGAGAATCTTACAGCTCAGGGAATGCATGGTTTCTTTTGAAATCCTGTGTGTTTTATTTTAAGCATTTAAAACGATTATTCTGAGAAGGGATCCCATTGGCTTCACCAGACAGCTGAAGGGTCTGTGGTGCAAGAGAGGTCAAGAACCCTGACCCATCAGTGAGGTTTCTTCTGGCTCTGACTTTCTGAGTTGATGAGTCAGTCTCTAGATGGGAAGGTGTGGGGAAAGGAAGGCATTTGTTCACCAAATGGAGTCCATGAGTCGGAGGGTGGGTGCACCATGGACCTAGAGGAGCCAAGAACACCCCTTACCTGGTATCATATGTGTGGCTTGTCTGGAGAGCAGCTTTGTTCTCAGGATGTAAAGAAAATAGCATTAAAACTTAACTGAAATATATGCATATTTATATATATACATATATATGAAATTAAACTTAAATCCACATATGTATATTTTCTAATTATAAAAATAATATTCTTTGTAGAAATTTTGGAAAGCAGAAGAAATGATAGAGAAATAAAAATTACCTATAATCCCACCACTCAAAGTTAACCAGAAGCATTTGGCCTCTAAGTTTTATTTCAGTTCAAAACAACACTTATGATCAGTCTAGTGTGTGCATTTGCTTCTTAATTCTTTCCATTCAACATTGTAGCTTGCTTAGCTCCTATGGTATTGAAGTATTTTTCATTTGGCTATACTATAATTTATTTAATCAATCTTCTATTGTTGAACATTTAGGTTGTTTCCATTTTTCAATATTAAAAGTCATGCAGCAAAAAAAAAAAAGTAATGCAGCAATGGATATATTTTTGTACATAAATATATTTGTGCAACTTCAGTGATTTTCTTAGCATATTTTCCTAGGGGTTGAATCACTGGTTTCTTAGGTAAATGATAATCTTTATACATTGCATATGAACATTTATTTATCCTCTCTTCAGTGGAAGGTGGCAGTGCCCATTTTGACCACTCCTTTGCCAATTATTGAATATATAATTACTTTCATCTTTGCCAATCTCATAGGTGGAAAATGGAACTTGTTTTAATTTGCATTTCTTTGATAACTTGTGAGGCTGACCTTTTGAAAATAAGTATATTTCCTCACTTGTGAATGCATTATACAGTTTTGACTTTGATACAAAGCGTAGGGGCAGAAGGCTACCAGCTCTGAGGCTTGCACAAGCATAGGGTGAAGGGAAATGCGGTTTGTGAGAGAGGAGAGATGCTGGCATCAAGGTGGCAGCAAGCCAAGGTTGCCAAGATGGGGACCCTCCCTGGGGGTCTCAGAGACCCTCCGAGGGCCCCCGGAGGGGTTGGAGCTATGCTTCTGAAGTCACTCAAAGCTGAATTCAAACTGCTTTCATTATTTATGGGGGAATGAGATCCTGGAGATACTAGGTTTATAAATAGAAATATAGGCACACCTTGGAGATATTTTGGGTTGGGTTGCAGACCATGACAATAAAGTAAATATTGCAATAAAGTGAGCCACATGAGTTTTTGTTTTCCCAGTGAATATATAAGTTATGCTTACACCATACTGTAGTCTAATAAGTGTGCAATAGCATTGTCTAAAACAAACAATGCACATACTTTAATTTAAAAATGCTTTATTGCTAAAAAATGCCAACTATCATCTGAGCCTTCAGTGAGTCATAGCAGTAACATCAAGATCACTGATCACAGACATCATAACATGTAATAGTGAAAAAGTTTGAAATGTTGTGAGCATTACCAAAATGTGACACAGAGACATGAAGTGAGCAAATGCTGTTAGAAAAATGTCACCTGTAGACTTCCTTGATGCAGTGTTGCCCCAAATCTTCAATTTGTTAAAAAAAAAAACACACAATATCTGCAAATTGCAATAAAGTGAAGCACCGTAAAACAAGGTGTGCTTGTAAATGGAAGCATCAGACACCTTGGGGGTAAAAAGCAGATAACAATGCTGACTTCTCCTTGTTGTGGTCTTGAAGATTAGAAGCGAAGCAGCATGGAAAACTCTCCAAATAGCGCAGACACATAGTAAGTGTTCAACGAATACAAATTATTAGTTATTATTATTGTTATTAGCCATAGTGGTAGTAGTGAGGGTAATAGTGAGAGGAAGACCATTGTCTTGTCTGCCACCCTGGGAGAGCAAAGAGAAGAGGAAGATTAGATACGGAATTCAGTCTCTAAGAAGATGGAGTTCCAAAGTTCAGAGAAAAAGTCAGTCTGAGTCCATAGCCAGATAATAGTGACAACAATCGCTAGCCAGCAGTCTCGCCAGCCTGCTGTGGGTTTGACACGGAGCTGTGCAGGCAGTAAATATCTCATTTAATTCTCCTAGACATACCAGGAAGTATGGCTGAGAGTATTAAAACCTAAGAGCACGTACGTGCCCAGAAAGAGGCAGGACCGACCTGAACCCAGGCCTCTGGCGTCAGTGCCTGAACTCAGCACCGTCGCCGTGCTGCCCCTCCCCCAACAGCAAATCCAGCTCCAGAGAAATAGGAGGCTCCAAGGAAGAAGCTGTAGGGCTTTAGAAAATGAATTGTCTTCGTAAGATAGGAGAGACACTAGCAGGCTGCACAGTGGCTCTCTGACGTGCACACCTTCGACAGGGTGAGTTAAACTGAGTTTTCTCCAAACCCCAGGAGGTGAGAACTACCATGATTCCACTTCCCATATAAGAAACTTGCTCAAGGTGTTACACGGAGAGTAAGTAGCAGAGATGGAACTCGAATCCAGGCAACCTGGGAAGGAAAAGACCAATACTCAGGGACGGCACCAAGGCCAGTAGAGACACATCATGCTGCTCTGCATGAGTTCTGGTCCCCAGGCCCCGAGGGTCACATTCCAGGACTGAAAGACGCTAAATGAAGTCCCCAAACCCGTGGGAGTGGGCCTGAGACAACATGGACAGAGAAGTGCCCAAGATGGGAAAAGGGTAGACAATCTGCTTTTGAAGATCAGACCTCCATAAAGCATAGGATGCTCGGCTGGGCATGGGCACTCCAAACTTTAAAAAGGATTGCTCAACAGACAGCTGTAAGCCCTCGGAAAAGAATGACAGGACCCAACATCGGTTCCCAAGGGGTAAATCCTGCCCAAGCATTGATCTGTCTTCAGGGTACACCATGAACCAGTTGTTCTTCTTTATTTTTTTTAATAAGGTATTGAATATAGTTCCCTGTGCTATACAGTAGGTCCTTGTTGTTTATCTATTTCATATATAATAATGTGTATGTGTTAATCCCGAACTCCTAATTTATCCCCCCCATGCTTTCCCCTTTGGTAACCATAAGTTTGTTTTCTATGTCTGTGAGTCTATTTCTATTTTGTAAATAAGTTCATTTGTATCATTTTTTTAGAGTCCACATATAAGTGATATCATATGACATTTGTCTTTTTCTGTCTGATTTACTTCACTTAATATGATAATCTCTATATCCATCCACATTGCTGCAAATGGCATTACTGCCATTCTTTTTTATGGCCGAGTAGTATTCCATTATATATATACACCACATCTTCTTTATCCATTTCTTTGTCTGTGGGCATTTAGGTTGTTCCCATGTCTTGTCTATTGTAAAGAGTGCTGCTATGAGCCTTGGGGTGCATGTACATTTTCAATTAGAGTTTTCTCCAGATATATGCTCAGGAGTGGGATTGCAGGATCATATTGTAGCTATATTTTTAGTTAGTTTTTTTTTTTTAAGGAATCTCCACAGAGATTATGTTCTGCATAGTCAGCCAGTAGTTCTTTTATTCTGCCTCTTCATCATCCACAAGGGCTGTGCTCCTCAGTGGCATCCCTCCTGACACGGAATTCTCCCCAAGACCCCACCCTCATGAGTCTCCACAGGGGAAGTGGATCCGAACCTCTGGGGTGATGTGTGCTGATGGA